ATGGGCAAATTCAGAATGCTGTTCTAATTAAAACTGCAGGGGGTAAGTATCAGTTTTGCAGAAGGTTGCAAAGGCAAATTTTGAAATACTATGAACAGGTTCTTCATGGATGGTATCATTACCCCTGAATTCTCAACCCAAGTGCTACAATAGATCTTTTAGAGAAGCGTATAGTTGGCCTAGCTCGAGCTCTATCCGCAAAACCTTGTTTCGGATTTAGTTCCAAAACCAACCCTATTGAAGTCAAAAACTCCTACAATACCAGATCATCAAACTCATATAACAAGGCTTTCGCTGCATATAATAAAATCTCGAGTAACAAAATTGAGTACACAAAATTCATTTCACTCAACACCCTCTAGGATTAGAATTTTTACTACTAAAATACAAAAGGTTGACATGCAAAAAAAATTCCTCCCTTCAACAATGTCCTATGGTAGTATATGAAGAGTTTATCGCTTCCCACCTCCACCACCAATCTTTGGGCCCCTTGGAGCTGCTCCCTTGGAAGCACCTTTACCCTGGGTTTTCTGTGCCTTGGACACTTCCTGTTTCTTAGCTCTCTTTTCATCCTTGGTCTTCTTGATTCTTTCCTTGATCTCACTACAATATCATAAACATGTCATTCAAAATTCATAAAACTACCAGTAATTATTGGAAAATTCAGATGAAAAGTCCCATTAGAGATATAGAAACCATGTTTGCCACTATAACATACAGGTGCAAACTAAATTAGCAAGTGAACTCACCGCAGAGCAGCCTCCCTTGCAGCATCTCTAACTTCAGGCTTTTCGGTTCTTTTCTTCAGAATAACTTCCAATGTAGCACCAACAATAGACCTTGAATAAGGCTTCTTTGTGGCCCTTCTCCTCTTCTTCACAGCTTCAGCAGAGATATCCTGTACATATAGGAGAAAGACCAACACAAAAACCAATATTTTAAGCACTTCACGATCAAAATCAACCAGAAGGGACTCCCCATTACACAATTACAGAGTAGATAAGATCACAAATAGGAATATGGAAAGAGAGAGAGGAGGTTTATCACCTTCTTATGTTGTTTCCGATAAACGGCAGTCCAGCAGAGCTTTGCAGGCTTCAGACGGTTGTGGAAGTACCTTTTACATTTTGAATTGACAAAAAGGAATACCTTCAAGAAAGATTTACCAAAGATTGGTTAGCTTTAATTAATCCTCGTGAATATGAAGTCAGCAGCAAAACACACAAAGTTACAAAGTGAAACTTCAACAATTATCAGAATAGCTTACCTGAGAATCTGAACGAACAAACCTGATACCCCTTCCAGGGTATATCTTTGCACCACTAAAGCGGCAAAGTTCCGTCCTGGAGTTCACAGTTTGAGCAAGATCAGGTTAATCCAAAGCAAAGTAAACAGCTATATACATGGAAGGGTAAGGCAGATTTTAAAAAAGGATGATGTTATTCAAAAAGAAAAATAAAATCATAAACAGATGCACAATCACAATGTTGTCAAGAATTCAATCAGCGTATAATGCCCTTAGAATCACAATAGATAACAACCTCAAAAACATAAAACTTCATAATGAAGTGTATCAGTCTAGCCCAATGCAAGTTTGAGATAGAGAGCTAGGTCAATAAGCGTGGTTAATTCGTTCAATAGTCAATTCAAACAAAAGCTCAATTATCCACAACCCATTCACAAACCCCAAATAGTTGTCAGTATGACTCAACTCCAATTCTTTCTCCAAACCAAACAAGAACAATGAATTGATACCAATGTATACATAATACATCGAATAAACAAATTCAGAGCCATTAATTCCGAACTGTTTGATCCTCTCTTTACCCAATATCCCAAGCTCCAATCCCTTGTGTTTCAAACATTTTAGTCCAAATAAACCCTGCCAAGCAGTTTAACTTCCCAACAAATCACCTGTTTCAACTTGCTGAACAACAAAATAGGCTTAATCTAGCCACAAGTCCCATAACTTTCATATAAATGTTTAACCCAAGGGTATCGATATAAACAATCCATAGGCTATCATATCTCATACTAAAGCCACTGATCGTACCAATCTAATGCAAATGGAATCACTTAAAATCACGGTAGACAACGACCTCTACAAAAACATAAAACTTCATATGAAAGTGCATTAGTCTAGCCCAACATAAGTTTGAGATCAATAATTAGGTCAATAACTTAACAAGTGTTGCAATTTCATCCTCGAGTCAGCTCAAACAAAAACTCAATAATCCACAACGCATTCACATTTTACTCAAACCACAACCAAAGACTTAAAACACCAACTTCTCCAAACCATGAAATAACTCGATAATATGAATAAACAACCTCAGAATCATCAGTTCACAAATGCTAAAGTCCTCTCTTTATACTATCTCTTTTTCAAACACTCACTCCAGATAGATCCTGCCTGGCACTCCCAGCACTCACTTCCCCACAGTGCACAAACCCGGACTCCCTCAACTACAAAATAGGCTCAGCATTGCCACAATATTCAATTATAAGTTCACTCTGGGTATGCACAATCCAGTCATCCACAAGCTATCGTTTTACAAGACGCCAAATTTACTCATTGATCCTAGTAATCTAAGGCATATAGAATAACCCAAATCCTCAAATCTCATGAATTTTCAAATAACCCAAAAACACTAAATAAAACCACTCTTAAAACCCTAAACCCTTCAACATTCTCCCAATCATAATTTACATACAACCCAAAATACAAGGTCAAATAAGCCATTAAAACAAACTGGTTAATCTTTTGAAAAATCCCATTTCGAACCCAATAAGATGCTACATCTATAACCCATAAAATTGATATTCACAATGCCGCATTAGATTTTGCAAAAACAATCAGAAAATATGATTAATATCAGATTTCACTTAAAAATTGCAAAATTACAATGAAGAAAAAGTGAAGAGAAAGAAAATTACTTGAGAACCATGACGACTGGCTGGCGGGGCTTACAGTGATCGTCTTACAGTTGTGCTTTGCCCTGAATCGCCAAACCAGAGAGAGAAGCGACGAAACCCTAGCTTTATTTTTTGTGTTTGTGATTTCTTGTTTTAGTGTTACTTTGCTCAATCAAGTACCACCTACCAATTGGGCTCTTTTCACTTGTTTTGGGCCTTTACCTTAACTAAGATTAATGTAAAATTGTAAATGTTTTTTTTTTTTTTTTTTTAAGTGGATTGCTAAACACCGCCAACAAAAATGATTACCACCGCCAATATTTGGTGTGAATGGACAATCATACCCTTACTATTTCACCATCCCTTCATCCTTCCAGCAACCCACAGCCCCTTCCAACCGGCGATCACAACCCCTTTTGACCGACGACCCACCACACCCCCCTCTATGACAACCTACCTCCTTCCCTGGTCGGCGTGAAGGTGGTGGTTTTTTTTTAGGCAACCGGAGCCCAAAATCGGTTACCACGCACGGTAACCGATTTTGGGCTCCGGTTACCGTGCACCTTAATCGATTCTATGGTAACCGGAGCCCAAAACCGGTTACCATTTATTTTGGGCTCTGGTTACCATGCACGGTAACCGGTTTTGGGCTCCGGTTACCATGCACGGTAACCGATTTTGGGCTCCGTTTACCATACATGGTAATTGATTTTGGGCTTTGGTTACCGCGATTGCCTGAAAATCTGAAATTTAAAAAAAAAAAAAAAAAAAAGGAGGGAAGGTGGTGGGTCGCTAGTGCGGTGGTGATCGTCACCGGTTAGTGTGGTGGGGGTGGTGGTGGTGTTAGTCGTCAATTAGGGTGGTGGTGTCAAGGTGTTAGTGATTGATGGCAAGAGGGAAGATAGTAGTGAAGTACTAAGGACATGATTGTCCATTCACACTAAATGTTGGCGGTTTTGATAATTTTGGATGGCGGTATTTAACTCCCCCCTTTTTGTAACTTTAAAATAATTTTATGTGAAAAAGGTTAAAAATAAAAATGTCTAAATAATGAACCATAATGATGATGTAAGTGAAGAAAGTAATCAACTGAGTTGAAGTGAACTGATTGGAGTTGAACTAAACTTAACTGAATTGAATAGAGCTGAAATGAATATTTTATGAGAGAAGGAAATTAGGAGCTAAACTGAATTAAACTAAACTGAACTGGACTGATTGGAGCTGAACTGAACTGAAATTAAGCTGAAGTGAACAAGCCCTAAGTAATGAATAAAAAATAGAGGAATTGTCTACTAAGAGAGTGGCAAAATGATGATGTTAAGTGAAGAACAAAAAATAGATGCCTTTAATGTAAGACATATATATGTATTTGTTATGGTCATTTGACCATATTAACTCGATTTTAGAATTTTGAAATGAGAAAACACTCTTAGATGCCTTTAATAGTTTAATGTAAGACATATTTTGTACTCCCTCTGCCACTGTCTAATCTTTACATTTGGAATCATTTGTGAGAGAGAAATGATTAAAGCATAAAAATTAAAAAGTGGCACGGAGAGTAGAAAATACTCATACATATAGGTTTTAACAGTGGAAATTATTAACATAAAGTAGGTATCATTGTCTTCTATAGTCTCAAAAACGATTATCTATACATAAAGTGATAAATCTCTTTATTTTTACTCATTCTTTTTTAAAGTAATTTTCTTATGGTAAAAATTTTCAATCATTGATCTCATTTAATGCGTTTTTGGTATCAAAGTTTTGTATTGTTGGTGTCAAATTTTCTTATATAAAGTGCATAAGATAGATTATAAACCAAGACCTCCATAGATTATTTTTGTTTGTGCAAGCTTTTATTTATGTTTTTTTTCTTTTTCCTTTTCATTATTTGTGTGCTTACTTTCATCAACCTTGAGAAATTGAATCGCAAACTCTCCAGAAATTGATGCCTAGGCTAGTGCAATTATTTAAACTAGCACAGCACATCAGTACTTACAATACTAGAGTGGAGTGTAAAATATCTTATAGTCTTAAACACGGTTGAAATCTTCCAATTGCTTTAGAAGACACATTCAGAGAAATTCAAAGAAGGCACAAGACATTAGCCACAAAATATATAAATCAACCCATGTTTACATCACCAAAGAGCAAAAAATTTCCCTGCTTCAATTCCATGACCAGTGAGAAATCGTCATTAGCTACAAGCAAAAGTAGATCAGCTAACTGGTTTTCAGCCTTCTTTGAGAAAAAGCATGCCTGGATAAACTTAAATTTGTATGTATTCCTAGATAACCCAGGCTCTGGGCCTAGATACAAGCAAGGAATGCAATTTTCTTACAGCAATTCAACTCCTACGCAAAATAACAGCTGAATCTACAGAGGAGAAACTTTTTGCACAATCCGAAGTCACTGAAAAATGGAAACAGGTGGAGGCGAACCATGCTTCAACCATCTAACAGAGTAATCAGGCTGCTTTGGCTGTCTCCCTGACAAGTGATAGCTTAGCCAGAAGTCCGCATAGCTGAAGATAGGAGCCAACTCCATCGCAAATTCTCATATGGGTAAACCCAGTTTCCTGTACACATGAAATAGAAATCAGGACTTGCACCAGAAGTGGGGAATGTGAAGGTCAACAACAAGTCCTACAAGCATATACTCATACCTTCATGAATTCCAACTTCAAATACTCGGCCATGTCATAGTTTTTAACAACACGGAAAAGTGTAGTGATTATGTCAGTAGGGGAGTAACCCATATCATAGAGGCCTTTCATACCAGAACAAGCATCATCAAACTTTCCTTCAAGCACATTTCGGATCATGTTCTTAACGTGCAAAGGATGAGGCTGATCACAAACCTGTCACACAAAAGATAGTACACAATCAGATAACAATAACCAATTTGCTGACATAAGCTAAAAACCACAGTTTTCAGAAGCAACCTTGAAGACATTTTCCTGGTTGACAAATCGGAATCCACTGAAGGTAGCCTGCAAGTTATTCAGAGCTTGCCGCATATCACCATCAGCAGTGAAAATTATAGCTTCAAGACCTTCTGGAACATATGGAACCTTTATCGCCAATACACACAAAAGCCTTCAGCAATAGAAATTGAGCAAACCAACATGCAATGCACGGAAAATTGAATAGGGGAGGAGGGACGGGACTGATGTAACAAGAACAAACCTAGCCACTCTTTAGCATTCATACTTTAAAGTAACAAAATGCAGTCACAGACTAATTAATAAAGACTAAAAAGTAATGACTATTATGAAGTACGAAATCTAGATGAGCCTCAGCGATGACTATCAGACAGTCAGACTATCGCAACTCATAAAGTCATAAGCCAATAATTTATTCCCCAATAACAAGACCAAGCGGAAGCAAATCTACATAAAAACTAACACCCAACAATCCAGCTTCAGCTAAAGTAAGTTGACAGAAGGAGACTACCTGTTCAGCCTCAATGATTATCATGAGACGACCAAGAATTTCTTGATCTGACAACCTTGTAAACCGGACCAATGCACATCTACTCTGAATTGGCTCAATGATTTTTGAAGATGTATTACATGCAAGCGCAAAGCGAGTAGTGTTTGAGTATATTTCCATTGTCCTTCTCAAAGCTTGTTGAGCTCCAGATGTCATGCTGTTTCAACCCAATATAGCCCAAAAATTCAAAAAAGGAACACATAGTCATAAAAGGAGTGTCAGAAATCAAAAATGATGAACATAGCACATATTAGAATATCTCAGTACAGTTTTACCTGTCAGCTTCATCCAATATAACTATCTTGTGTCGCCCAGGAGGGAGGGTAACTTTCTTCTGCGCAAACATTTTAATTTTGTTCCTGACAACATCAATTCCCCTGACAAAAAGAAAAAAATGCAGTAAGTATCTAAGAGACCTTGTGAGCAGTACAACGTCTTTCGGGAGGAAGAAAGAGAGGGGGGGGGGGGGGTAGGAATACCTATCATCTGAAGCATTCAACTCCAGAACTCCTTCCTTGCAGTTTGGTCCTAAAAGTTCATGTGCAAGAGCGAGTATGCTTGTTGTTTTTCCTGTACCCGGAGGACCCTAAACAACCAAATGGTGTCTCATCAGTATGCGACATAGAGCATATAAAAGCCTAAGTAACTCCATCACCATAATAATTAAAGGTGGACATGCAGTCATTCAGTCCATTCCATATTAGCCAAAATCTATTTGCATAACCCCATCTTCCCATGGCTAAAACGAATACAGATTCCACAAAATGTACTGCTTGGGAATGATTATACAATTTACAAGATACCATATCAATAGTGGTAATGCTCGTAAAAAAATAAACCCTTCGATATCCCAGCACAGGACATGACAGGAAAAGGGGGAAGAAAGGATCAAACTTGAAGCTTCCCTCTTTCCTTGAGTAAATTCAGTAAATGGTTTATCTATCCTAATTCTGCCTTTTATGAATCTAAACCATTGGATAACACATCAAAAACAGCAATTTGCACTATTTTGCAGTAAAACTGCACACAACAATCAACATTTTCACAACAAACATTCCAAGAATGTATTACAAATGACTTTATTCAATTACATTAATTGCAAAATTGTTCACTACAATACCAATTAGGGTTTCCATCAAAACACGGAAATTCAATACAAACACAGATTATAGCACTGGAAAAAACCAAACCCAGTTATCTAGTACTAAATTTGCATAATAAAGCTCCAATTCGAGAAATTCCCCAACAAAAAACCCAGATATAAAAATGGCGGGAAAACAAAAATTGCAAAACCCATCAAAATACCAGTGACATCCAACAAAATTAACTAATTTCAGGCATGAAAATTGTAAAATTTTGTCTAATTTATCCAGATTGAAAGAGGAGTTAAAGAGGGGAAGAAAGAAAGTACGGCCAAGATGAGGTTGGGCATGTTGCCATCGCGAGCAATGACTTGGAGGCGAGAGACAGCATCCTCGTTGCCGACAATGTCGGAAACTTTGCTGGGTCGGTACTTCTCCACCCATGGTACCTCGTACCCGCTATTCGATGAAGAAGACGCCATTGCTAAGTGCTATTCCCCACTAACAAAGCTCAACCCAGTTTCTTCACTATTGAGTGATTTATGAGTAAGGGTTTGATTAGGGCGAAAATAATACGGAGTAGTCACTACTCAGTAGTCACTACATAGAGAAGGCCCGCCCTCAAGGAGAAAGTCAAGTTTATTTTTTGGTGGAAAGAAAGTCAAAAGTTTATACTCCGTAAGTTCGTAACCGAATACCAAAGTTTATAAGGGGTAAATGTGTAAAGTAGTACTATGTACTCGTATATTCTAGTATGTAGTGAAGGGTATAATTGTAACTGACCATGTACAATTCTACTAATGAAAATAAATATAAATGGTGTTAGATTAACATGCGTAATTAGCTGTCATATTCTTAGGTCATCAAAAATGAGCTTATTTGACCAAATTAGAGGTTTGACTACATAAATCATCAAATTTGGTTGTTTGGCAAAAGAGCTTTTTAAATGAGCTTATTGAGACAAATAAGCTAATTTGTAAAAAGCTAAAAAATAGAGCTTTTTAGATTAGCTTATTGAGTAATGGATGTCAAAAGACTATTTTATGCTAAAAGTTACTCTAATTCACATTCTTGCCCTCCCAATTTCTTAACCTAGTAAAAAAAAAATGAATGTCCTAAATTGTCATTTCATACGTTCAACTAACAAACAACTGCAAATAATAAACTAATTTTACCAAACAACTCTACATAAAAAGCTCTTATAAATCAGTTAGTCAAAACAGCTAATGCAACCAGCTAGTCAAACACAGCTAATGCAATCAGCTCTTACCAATCAGCTAACCGCTAATTACCAATCAAGACCTTAATATTCTCTATTCATAATAATACTAGATCAACTAGAGTTGTCTAAGGGGTAATACAGGCAATAATTTTAGTTAGTCGTGCTTATTATCTTAGTACCTCAACTTTTATTATTGCGAAAGCTACGGCTTTCCACTCTTCATAACAATCTTTTATTATTCGCACTATAATTTGATTGTACAATGAAAGCCCCTAAATTTTTTGTTATTATTTTTGCCCTCATTTAATGATTTTTGGCACTTTATAAGGTAGATTGCACCACCCAACTTACTATTTTACTCTATTCAACTCACTATCTTATAACTATGTGTCAATCAAACCAATACACTTAAGGTATAGATGTATGAAATTATTTAATTTTAGGCTCAATTCTCCTTACCTTATTGCCACTTTTTATGTCTATAATAAGTTCAAATTAGTTTATATAAGAAAAGATAAGGAATAGTAAATTTAGATACGATAAAATGAGAGCTAATAAGTTCAAATAAGAGAAGTTTATAATAAGAGCGAGATCCAGTTGATATCGGTGGTAAACACCTTCATTTATCTCAATGGCATTTATGTTAATAATACAAAACTTCAAAAGATGGGACCCCTTTGTTCATGAAAATTATGACTCGCGGCATTTACCTCAGACTTCCTTATTCCTCCTACTTATCACCATTATTGGAACAAATTGCCATCTCCCCTTCTTCCTATAAACCACCACCGGCAGTCCGGTAACAACCATCATCTCTTTCCCCTTTGATCCACAACTAAAAATCAACCACCATCTTGTTCTTCCCGCAATCTACCCACCTTCATCTTTCTTCTTCCCGCAACCAACCCACCTTCATCTTTCTTCTTCTTACGCCGACGCCGACACCAACACCAACACCTAGGGCTGTGCAGAGTACGGTCTAGACCGCACCAAACCGCAAACCAAACCGCAATTTTGCGGTTTGGTGCGGTTTGCGGTTTGGAAATTACAGTGCGGTTTTCAAATTTGACCAAACCGCGGTTTTGCGGTTTGGTGCAGTTTCAAAAAAAATTCAAACCAAACCGCACCGCAAACCGCAATTTAATGCAAGGACTCTTATATGGAAAGAAGACTCTTATATTGTATTTATATGTATTGAATTGTGTGGGTCATTATTAAGAAAAACCAAAGTTTTCCTTTCTTATTACTCTCTGTTTCTTGTGGTTTGGAGTTGTAATGGAGTTGTTGTGGTTTACTTAATGATTTTGCTCCATGTTTGCCTTGGCATGTTACTGGGTCACTATTAACATTGAAGTAAAGCACTACTTCTTTATTAAATTATTTGCATAGTTGTACAGTTTTCAAGTAAAAATTTCATAACAAAAGATTAGCAAATAATCATTATTTGTGAGGTAAAAAAATTATGGAAATACCGCAAACCACATCGCACCAAACCGTATTTTGCAGTGCGGTTTGTATAGAATTGCGGTTTGGTGCGGTTTGAAAAAATCACAAACCGCAATTTTGCGGTTTGGTGCGGTTTGAGATCCAAACCGCACCGTGCACAGCCCTACCAACACCGATATATTAATGGCGGCGAAGCCAAATAGAGAATTCGGGGCATAATTAACCTTAAAGGGTAATTTATATTTTCTTCCTCCATTGAAATTCCATCGTTGAAGTCTTGACGAGTACATACATTTTCAAACTCCATTAATGGGCAAGAAGCTTGAAACTGTTTGTGGTTGCTTTTTTGAGATAAAAAACTTAACGGACGTTTGTTATCTCTGTCATATTACTTTTCCTTACCAACTAGCAGTGTGTAAGAACTTTTGTTCAAAAGCAATTTTTAATGTCTGGGCACGTACATCGATGAACTTTTATTACCATTTTGCCACGAGATCAACAATACTCATTTATCACGAATATTAACTTGGATTTTCTCTTTTAATATATAAGACAAAAGATAAGTGACATTCAATTGAGAACATTACCTTCTTTTGTATGATAGGATTTAAAATAACTAATTGTACATGAAATTGGTTTTCAAATATCATTATGTATAAACCTTATTTTGTTTGAAATATTAGCAAGTAAAGTAAATCAAACCGAAGAAGACTTTATATGACATGATCGTTTGTTAAATTGTACTCCGTATAGACGTACGTTATGGAGTGTGTACCGGAAAAAAGCGGCGCTTTCTAGTGCCCAAGAATCTAAGATTAACAAGCAAACCACAATAATGCATTAATGCATTGCAAATTTGCAATAAAGTTCCAAATCACATAAATCACATTACACTTAACTTTCCCATCATCGTCATCTACATTGAATGCAACCCTATCCCCCGAACAATAGACCCCACCACACCAACCACCCAGCCCAAAACTCCATCACTCGAACACTAAAACCCAAAAACCCTTTATTTCAAAATTTAAAATAAAATAAAAAAAGATTTTAAGTGTCCCAGAAAATTCCACACTCCATCAAACGACACCGTTTCACACCTCCAAATGTCAAGCCTCGATGCGACGCCGTTCTGTCACCGGTAACCCCCGACCTACCGGCGACGATGAGAGCGCAGGGGCTCCGCCACGCAGCGCGGATGATACGACGCGCTAGCAGCGGACGAAGGTCGATGAGAGCTCCATCAATGGCGGTAAGAGAAACGGCGGCGCAGGAGATTGAAGAGAGACAAATTGATTGGGCGTACTCTTCCCCTGTTGTTGCGCTTGACGCTGCTTGGAATTCCGCCTTTGTGTTAGCTGCTTCTGCTGCGCTTTTTCTCACTTGGTCGGATTCTCTTCGTCTTCCTCTTAGGGTTTGGATTGCTGGTTATGCTCTTCAGTGTCTTCTCCATGTTTTCTGTGTTTGTGTTGAGTTTCGCCGGCGTCGGAGGGTTCGGAATGCTGTTGAGCACGGCCGTGATGATTACTTTGAGGAATCCAGGTGATTATTTCTTAATTATGATTGTATTATCTGTTTGGAATTGAGGAAACATTTGATTATTATATTATGTCTTTTGGAGGTATGTGGTTGAGATTACCATTTGATGATGATCATATTTTTTTTAATGTGCAATAACTTTAGTTGTGAAATAAACTATAAACTGAGTAATGTGTGGATGATATTCATAACATATCAAGATTTTGTGCCTATATATTTAGTAATAATGAGTCTATGATGGTATGTGTTGATTATAATGTATGTGATTATACAAAGAGTAAGTTTGGAACATACTTCTTTAATTCCTTTGACACATCTCATTTTTCATGTTTGCCAACACACAATTTAAGTGCTAATATTTCTAATCATCAATATGTAAAAATTATGAAATGTTGATGGTGTGAAAATATATCTTGAGACGGGTTGCAAATATGAAATGTTTTAACTTCCAAAAGTATCAAAGTGTTGCAATTTTAGTAAGATGGGGAAAGTATGATGCAAATTGTATTATCTGTATCATATTGGCCAAATTTTTTTAAAAGAGAAGTTAAGTAAGGCGATGTTATTTTTAATCATTTCAGGTATATTTTTGTATTTTTTTTCTTGACTTTCTTACAAAATAATCCCTTGATTTGCATTAAATGTATATCCAAGATCAATTAGATGGAGCTCAGGTTAGTTTTTTTTTTGGGAGATTTTTTCCATTTGATGTAGGAGATCCACAAAGGACAATGATGTAAAACATATTTGGTTTTAATTCTTAGGTTTTGTCTTAAGCAATTAAGCTAGGTGGCATCCGCTTGTATGCATGTATGTTAAGGGTTGTGAGATATGAATACTAGAAATTGTTCTAATTATATATTATGGCATAAGAGGAGATGCTTCTTCTTTGAGAGTTAAGATTGTCTTTAGACCCTTGTAAAGCATCGCGAAAGAAATCTATGAGAGGAATGAATGTAGTGGAGATGTGTGCTAGCTGCCAAGTTATACTATGCGGGAAGATACACTAAAGAAAGGCTCTCTTTTAATTAATTAATTAATTTTTTTTTAAAAAACATTTATCGATCTTTAATTTACTGCAATTATTTTACCGATTGACTATATTTTCTTGATTAAAACTGATTTTTGTTAAACAAATTAATTCTTTCATTTATTTCAAACTGAATTATACTAATCAAAACTTTTATTTTTAAGCCCACCAGAACTTATTTTAACTGAATATATATTACTTGAGAAAGAAGGTCCAAAACATGTGGACAAAGGTGTAAGGGATGTCCTAGCTCTAAATTTATGTGGATGTTTCGGCTTTGTACAATGGTGGAAGATGGATTTATGTATGTTGCCTGCCCGCAGGGATTCTGTGACTTCATTTAGACTTTTTTCTCACTGTTGTTACTCCATGGACGTTTATTCTTAGATTTTGATCCTGT